AAGTTATTGCGTGCCACTCCTCAGGCCCGAGCTTGAAGTCCTCAGTTAGGGAAAATGCTTTTTTTTGTAGATTTTTTTGTTTAACTTAGGCTTTTTATTGTAATTTTTAAATTTTCTTCTTACGTTTTTTCTCAAATGAAATTAGATTTTTAAATTGGTAATTTATATTTAAAATGAAATATTTATAGTTTCGTTCCTCAACTTTTCTGGAAAAAACTGGTAAAACTGTGAAAAAGCAAAATTGCTCTCAGAGAAAGAGAGAAACCCCAAAAAGTATGGGAACGCTACTGAGATCCATGGTTCAAGCTCTCGGGTAGGCCACTCTTTTTGGCTAAAAACTGATAAAACTGTGAAATACACCGTAGACGCCATTTTTGTTTGCATAGCTGTTGTTATCATTTGGCGATTTGTTAAATTATACGGAAGTACGCAGGCAAATAAACAAATATATTTAATAAGGTGAAAATGTACAGATGTACTTTTGTTTTTGTTTATTCAACCTTCAATCTGCTTTGACACTGAACAGCGTATCAGATTTTACCAGCCAGTAAAAATTCTTCAGGTAAAATCTTGCAACTTCTGACAAAGAGAGAATACCTAGTTTACTACCCCATTTTTCGCCTACATAGCCAGAGAACCGAGTACGGGCACCTTCTCTGGTAAATTCTAGCAATTTTGTCGAATTTGACACTTACATTATTTTAATTTGAAAAATCTTGACAACCTCCAAGCGGATTTGAACCTGTGATCTCAGAACCAGAACGAGTGGTCTTCACGCGTCGCCACTGTCAACATTTGTAAAGGAAGCAATTAAATGCTTTTTATTTTTGTTGATTTTGTCAACTCAAAGGCAGAACTTGTAGGCCATCACTTTAACTCATACTAGCTAATGAAGTGGTATTTTTACCGATTGGTTTGGCTTTTCATTGCATGGAGGTTTAAGTTCTGTATGAATGTATTGGCATTGGAGTCAGTGAAATGGTTGAGGTAATTTTGCATTCCCTTCCCCCGCTTACCCAGACAAAACCGGTTTTCGACGGAGGCCCAATGTCATCAAGGTTATTATGAAATAAAAGTAGATTGTTTGTTAATAGGGTAACCACCTTTTCAGTTGCCCGAGATTAAAAAATAAAATTATAATTTCTTCACTTTTGTGGTTTTTTAATAACATTTCTTAACAAAACTTTAACTAAACAAACAATTCTTCAACCCTGAAAGGGCATGCTTATTTTGAGAATTTTTTCTTACAGCCTATGTGAAGACATCAAAACTACAAAAAAAAAAATGAAAAAAAAATGTTTCTCAAACCCTAGGATTTTTGTGTCAAACCCTGAACGGCCTGAGTGATATGCAGGGCCAATGAACTGGCAAGACAGGGAACTCTTGAGTAGTTATTGCTAGGGAAAGAGAATGTGGGAACCCGAAATGTTTGGGCTTCCAATATGAATGCATGTAGACTAAAAGTAAAAGCGGTTCAGAGGTGCCTAGGCTAGCAAAAGTCGAAAGTAGGGCTAATAGAGGTTTTAATGCTGATTCAAATGAAAAATTTATCTATATTTTCTGTCGCCACAGTGCAGAGAAAATCTTCCTTATATAAAACACTTTTTTCTAGATGAATCGGACGATGATACCTGACCGAAAGACTTTTTAATCCGTCAAATCATTATTCTTAAATTTTAGACTTACGAAGGTGGTAACTGATTAAAAAAAATGGTATTTTATAGTACAAATTGTTCAACTTTTCGAAAAGCATCGTCTTTTGAAACAAAATCGACGCAGGTCTTTGGACAGATATTCTGTTGCAAATTATGTCAAAAAGCCGCAACTAACTTAAGTGTCGACTTTATTTTGACTATGAAAACGACATATATCAAATGGCAATAACAATTTTTTTTTCTTGAAATGTATATGGCGAAGGTTTAATGTATGTACGTAATTCTCATTCGGAGGGGGAAGTTTTTTTCCAGAATTCAGCTGAAATATATTCGACACCTTCACATCCATACAACTGCGAACACCACTTTTTTAATGAAGAAGCAATCAATGAATGGTACCGTGTTGCTGCTATTGGGGCTGGATTTGGTTTTCTTATTTTATAACCCGATTCCAGCTGCTTTTTTAGCTTCTTCTAGTCTGGGCCATTTGTTAATAAAATTTAAGTTTTCTTTGACATTTAATAGACTTAATGTTTTGACGATTTCACAAGGTCACCTTAGAGATGACTTAAGAGAAAATGAGCCGCTGAGTTAAATGTTTGCCTGTGGAAGGCTTCCGTGCTACATTTACTTATAAACTTATAGGCCAAATTGTTCACGCTTCCTTCATTCGATTGCTACCTTCAAGGCGATGATAAAATGAATATTCAAACTAAGGCGCGGGTGAGCCGAAGACTGGCTTCTTTTATGGCTGTTAATTCTGCTTGAAAGACATTGCAATGATCAGGGAACCGGACGATCGCTCTTCTAAGCTAATCCCACTGACAACATTACCGTTTAGCTTTGCCATTCGCTGCTATCTGGGATTCCTATTGAAAGCTTGTCTTTAGGTAAAGTATTTAGAACAGTGCTGTTAAGCTATAGTAGTATCCAGTATTTTGAAGTACCTAAGGTATGTTCCAATTTAGCTCATTTTTAAGTGAACACTTTTCGAAATTTATGGATTACATTTGAAAATCAATTTGGAACAAAATTTCTTATTCGAACAGTATCAACTACCGTTTAAAGCCTTGCTCTATTTAATTGCAGACCAATTATCGCACTCATTGGGCAAAATATTGTTGAAACCAAAGCTCACACTACTCGAACGCTTTCATTTTCAGGGAAAAAAATAAGACGGTTAGCTTGTCTTTATAGAAATCTCTGCTTATTTTCGTCGAAGGCCTCTTTCCGGAAGGTCTGAAACCGATTGCCCATTCGGACTTGGTTGCTTTCAAAATGTACTCATAACAAAGTCCACTTCCAACCCAGAATAAGTTGTAAAAACATAAAATCGTTGAATGGCTTGTAAAAAACGGTTCTTTTAGATGTCAATTTTGGCTGGGGTCGATGCTGGTTTGGAGAGCTTCTTATTCTCGTGCGTATTTATTTTTCGAAGTCAAAGCATTACCGAATGCTGGGTTTTGACAGCTGACAGATTCTTAGCCTTCCAATAATAATGAAAAAAAAGTATGTACATAGCAACATTGTTAGTTTATCTGGCATAAATATATGCCTTATACTTATTTCAAATTTAATTACTACATATGTAGATACATATATTTGAAATTTCTTATGAAGAAATCTGTGCCTCAAAAGGCATTACTTTTGGAACCACATTCTGCTTGGCCCGACCGGGGAAGTCATGCCGTTTTATCGGCATCTGAAATTAGTGAGGTAAACTATAGCTCCATTTTCTTGCTAACGCATTTATTTAGTTGCAAAAGATATTTAAGAGGGCAAATAGTTTGGGCTCATTTATAAATATCATTTGTTGCACGATTTGAGTCTGTTTGTAAACGCTTTCCATGAGGGTAGGTAGGGAGAACCAAGAAGAGGGGAAATGCCAAGTTCTTAACTGAGACATGACAGTTCTTCAAAAACGTTCTCTACGCAAATACCATGGCAACCTGGATCAGGCCACATTATATGTACATTTACAATTTTTTTCACGTTCAAATACAAAATACAAAGCTATACTAACATACGCAAAATTTCAATTGCCTTAATATATAGTACAAAAGTTTAAGTTAATGATTTGTTTTTATATGTTTGTGTATTATTTGGTTTTTAGTTTTATCGTCTTAATATAAACCATAAGAACTTAAATTAAGCTCAAATTTATACAAGAATGGTAATGAGGGCAAATCATAAAAAAAAAAAATTGTAAGGAAAATACAAAAACTAAACAAATTACAATCGCCCATAAGAATGCGTAACTCTATCGCTATTACTATTTAAAAATGAGCGTTTTCAAAACGAAATTTTTTTTTTTTGCTTGTTTTCAAATTCGGAATTTTTGCACTCTTCACTATTTGCCCATTCTTCTCACATCGCACAATGACGGCAACATTTGCTTTGTATTAAATTAAACTACACAGTGCTTTTTGTTGTTGAAATTAGATAACATTAATTATGGTTAATTGTAGGTTTAGAAGAATAACATAAAAAATAGGATACAAATTAGTCGAGCTCTTGACGGAAATCGTTTTAGAAACGTTTTCTTCGTGTAAACAGCAAAGTATTGCAAAATGGGACAAAGCTGTAGACGTTGAACAGCTCCAAGCAATTACATACACATTACGGTGTCTAAATAGGGATAGTTAATTAATTTTCTTAAATAAAATATTAAAATGTTTTACATAATTTTTTATAAAATTTCTTGGAGTATTTGAATGTACGAAAAACTTAAAAAATCTCACTAAAGTATAATGTACCTAATTTCGAGGTGTATAATGTCTTTGTTTTAGATATGACAACTGTAATGTTAAAATTGTTTTATACAAATTCCTTTTAAATGTTCATGTAAGCGGTTAGTTAAGTTTGTAGTAAAGAACCAACCTTCAAGCCCATGGGTATTCGTTGTACAAGCGCCTTATATTTTTGGTTGTAGCTGCCAAGGCATTTATTTTAACAATAAAGGTTTTGTTGTTGTTTTAGTAGCCTCGAGTGGTGAAATGATGGTACTTGACCGTATCTCGAAGGATCGATAAGGCAACCTAGAAATGATCTATGAATTTTTCCAGCTCCACTCCTTGGTTCAACCAATCTTTGTTAATGTATCTCATATTTCGAGGTGTATAATGTCTTTGTTTTAGATATGACAACTGTAATGTTAAAATTCTTTTATACAAATCTCTTCTAAATTTTCGAGTAAGATGTTAGTAAGTGAAAATGAATTTTTCCAGCTCCACTCCTTGAATCAACCAATCTTTGTTAAAATTTTGTATTAAAAAATAGTATTCTATTAAATATAAAATTGCCCTTTACAGGTGCTTCAATTAAATAAAATTAAATCAGCTCCTAGTATATTTTTTACATTTTACTAAAATTTCTAAAAAAAAAAGAATTTTCTTTGCAAACTGTATGTATGTATGCATATCTGCAGCCATTTTTCGTTCCCTGCTCAATAGTCGCTTTCTTCCATTAAGTCCCATTTTGCAATACCACGTGACCTCATTCCCTCTCTCTTCATTATCGCACTATCTTTCCCCTTAAATTTCCACGCTTTATCTTCTACAAATATTTCCTGTTCTTGTCTTCTCTCTCTACATGTGTAAGTGTGTGTTGGTATATAAGTATGTGTGTGTAAGTCCTTTTTAGACAATTGAAATTGTTACATTTATTCCCAGATTGCCATTATCCGCAAAGAGTTGTGCAATCGATGTATCAAACACCAAGCAATCCGAGTTGTGTATAGCAGAGGCAACACCTTCGTGTATGGAGCGCGGCATAGCCTCCCAGGTGAGGCGTCTACGGTTGCCATTCAACTCCAATCGATACACGAAATTTTCGGCTTCTTTCCGTGAGCCGATCAACTGTACGATGGCGAAGAATTGCTGATGACCATCATATTTTTCTTGCTTCTCGAGCACCAACATGAAATGATGACCAAAACATGACTGCATCATAACCCAATCAACAGCGCCAGGCAGATTGATATCGGTAGCAAGGAAGACAATATCCTCCCCCTGTAGCGTGGTGATGCTTTTGTGGGACATCATTAGGTGTTGCATGACCAAATCTAATGGACCTTGCCATTTGCACGATGCACCCGGACATGGGCATAGATATGGTCGACATTCGCATGTCTCTTCGTGCTCGGTCTTTTCGGTGTAGACAAGCGATGCTGTACAGCCGTAACCTGAGTGTTTGCACGGAAATTTCACATTGGAGGCGACCTTTTCCATTGCCAAATTGCGTATGTTGGCCAATGGGCCGCGACATGTTGGACAGCAGGTGAGTTTCGAGCGACATGATACGCATACCAGATGCCCGCTAGAACATTGTAATATCGGTGGCAAAACATAATCGAAGCACACCGGGCACTCGAACAACGAAGTTAAATCGGCAGACATGCCACCATCACCGCCACCAGCGGACGACAGTGACGAACTAGAGGAGGAGGATGTGTTAGCGGCTGAGGATGTATTGCCGGCCGATGGTGTGCCGGTACCGGTAGCGATCGGACCTTCACGGCGTTTCGGATTTAGCTTATTGGACATTTGTGTGTGTTGTAACAGGGTGAATGGTTGTTGCTGCTGCTGCGCCTGCGGCTGCTGTTGCTGCGGCTGCGGCTGCGTGCAGGGTGTTCCAGAGGCGGCGATGACGGCGACAGCGGAAGCAGAGGCAGAGGCTGCAGTAGCGGAAGCGGGTGCGGATGCGGGAGCGGAAGCGACAACGACGGCGCTCTCGTCTTCGTTGTGCACCACCGGCGCTGTTGATGAAGATGATGAAGCCGTCAAAGGCTGTGGGTGCTGTTGCTGAGTGGGCACCAGCGTTAGTGCTGTATGCTGCTGCTGCTGCACTGCCTGTACAGGTCGTACTAGCTGTTGCTGCACTTGCAGTTGAAAACGTGGCAGCACAGGCAACGATAAACGATAACGTTGATGATGATAGTACTCGTAGTGCTGACGTAAATGATGCAAATGACGAATGTGATTGAGGTACTGTTGTTCTACGAGAAGTTGTTGTTGCTGTTGTTGCAAATATTGTAGGCGATTGTGAATGTCTTGTTGCTGTCGACTCGTCGACTGATTATGGCTGTAGATGTTGGGGCTGTTACTATTG